TCTGTATTATCTGTATTTCCTGTTATTACCTTCCTGAGCAACAACTTCATTGCACACCGGACGGGTCCAAAATGTGCTCTGTCCCTCCCCGCCTCCCCAAAAGCACCAAAGCCCACAAGGTATCCATACTGTTGTTCCGGTGGCTGTCTGATTATGGCGACGTCTTTCCTTTCCAGATAATCGTTACTTTCATCCTTCTCCCCTCTCTATCACCATTTCCCGCATCCAAATGATTGTGTGGTGTTCTGCTGTCTCTCTGTCTTCCTCATCCCGCAACTTTTCCTCCAGGGTCTTCAACACTTCTCCTTTGTCAAATTTCACCTCACCATCAACCACAGCACTGCCTGCCAGCCTATCAGCCTCCTCATTGCCCTTCACTCTAAAGTGCCCAAGACAGAATATCCACATGACCGCTCTAAGTGAAGAGTGTTGTATTGGGTTCCTCCATTCACTCTGAAGCAGCCCTTTCTCAACCCTTCGCAGGATGTCCTGGGTGTCTGTGACAATAATGAGATAGGTAGTTCTTGGTCTTGTATTTTGAAGCCAGCCAAGCGCTCTTGTTACGGCCTCATCTCCATTTTCATGCTTGAAGTTGTTCTTTCTAAGGCCCCTGACAAGTTATGAGCCTTTTTCGTTCCCACTGTACACCACAAAACCCCACCCACTTCTCTCACCTCTCCTGAGCGATCCATCCGTATAGATCACTGGGTCCTCTGGCTTGGAATGCTCCTCAATTAACTGTCGTATGTCATTGTCGTTAATGACAGCAGCACATTCCCGTCATTCACGACCTTAAGTGATGTGAACGTTGGCCAGTGTTCTGGAATCGGGGCTCAGTTCAAACCATTCTTTTCCACAGCATATGTCATAAATGCCACAAACTTGAATATTCGCTTCTGCCATCCATTAGCTGCCCCGTTTGATCCTGTTTCCTTTGATGCTGCTTAGGTTGTCATGCAAAGGGTGTCTTGGGTCTCCCAAAACCTTAAGCACACCTTTGCCTGTGCCATCTTATACCTCACTCTGATGCTGGCCAGGACAAGGATGTATCTCATACAGACAACATGGGTGCCCTTAGTGCAACCCAGAACGGCCCTCATAGCTGCATTCTGTACTCTCTCCAACCTGTCTATGAGTCTTGGACAGGGAGAGGATGCCTAGACCGTAGTCTATGACTGACAGAACAACCAGCTGCATTAGGAGAAAAAAGAACTCTCTGTTGAATTCCCGCTGAAGCCAAGGTCTTCACTACATTGAAGTCCTTCTGAGCCCTGACAGCAGCATTGTCAATATACCATTGGAAAAGAAAGTGTCCTGTCCAGAGTGATTCCCAGGTACTTCAACTCATTCTGTCTGTCTATGAGAAAGTGGTCAAACACAATTGGAAGGGTAGGATCTTTCACAATACGGTTGTTGAGTGAGCACCAGATGACCTGTGCTTTGTCTGGATTGATGACCGCATTGTATTCCTCGCACCAATCTGCGACTTTGCTCAGCCTGTCCTGTAGCATCCGTCCAACCGCTAGCCTATCACGACCTTGTCCGTAGACCATCACACCATCTGCAAAGGTTACGATTCTTCCTGCTCCACTTACACCGATCCTGGCAATTTTGGATGTATATATGTTGAACAGAACCGGTAATAAGGCTCATCCTTGTGTCAGTCCTGAGGCAATCACTACTGGGTCTGACATCCATCGCCCACTTCTCAGTGCCACCTTCATCTCAAACAGAGCCTTGGAGATCCATTGTACCCACCAGGGGTCAACATCCATTTCCATCAGGAGATCCATGAGCTTGCCGTAATCAACTCGATTGTAAGCATCCTCTAGGTCTATACCAGCCATTGCTGTCTCCTTCTTTCTCTGGAACCCTTCAAATACATCAAAGGCTAACACAGCCCTGTTTGTGCTGGTTTCTTTCCCTGGTCTGTAGTTCCCAAGGCAGTCTGGAAGGAGCTTTTTCCTCTCTAGGTAATTTGCCAGCTTTTTGGCCACAATCTTACCCAGGATCTTTCCATACGTGTTCTGCATCTGTATCTTCAGCTCTTTTAACCACAACCCACCCGTTTCACACCATCTATCTATTTATCTATTTATCTATCTATCTATCTATCTATCTATCTATCTATCTATCTATCTATCTATCTATCTGTCTGTCTATCTATCTATCTTCCCTTTCTCAAGTTCTCTCCCTCTCTCCTTTCCCTCATAAATTTATATAACATACTATTGATCTCCATCATACAGAAAATGTTCACAGCACTTCCAGCTTCTCTCACGTAATCATTTAGCATACGCAAATGGCGACGTCACAGTTCACTACTGACACTTTTTAGGGGCAAAATTTGCTACAAAATATTCATCTTATAGTGAACATTTTTTTTTTTGCACTAAAGGTTCTAAAACATGCGTTCAACAAATAATAATGTCACGATTAGAAAAAAAGGTGACATACTTGCTTTTAAAAGCGATATTGTCCGAGCTGTTAAACTTTTAAAGGGGGGGGGGGGGTGCTACACCTGAAGGCTATCTTGCTTATTATTCGACCGAATGTTACCACATTTCACACATATAACAAGCATAGTAAGGAGTCTTAAAATCCACGATCAAATTTTAGAAAAAAGTTTCGTTTGCACGGATACGTCGACCATATTGGATTTTATTGACATGTCTTACGTAATGAATACTGTACTTACCGCTCATGGAAATTGATTGCTTTTTTGCATACGTGTTAACAAACATTAGATCTAAAAAATTTGTTGGTTGTTCTTTTCCTAAATGAATTAAACAATTTTTAATGAATTTTTTCCTGAGGTAGCATTCAAGTTTGCAAAAAATTCGCGAAAATCCACACTCCAGACACCACCAAGAAAAATGTATTCTATATATCAAAAATTCATTAGACAAATTTTTTTAATTACCTCTTCTCTTCATTCTGTGAAAATGTCATGAAGATTGGAAGAAAAATAGTGGAGTTATTTAAAAGAGTATAGAGAAAAGTGGCGTTTTGAGAAAACGGCCGATTAAGAAAAATAAAACATTGACTTTATGAGGAAATAGCGCTGAGAAACATGCCCGGTATGGAAAAAAATACGTTTTTGGTGGGTTCTTATGCAATGAAATAGTTGTAAGAGAGGCTGAGTAAGCTAAATATGCCTACAACTCAAATTCCATAATTCTTTGCCGAATCTTGACTTTGGGGGTGTAGCCCCCCCCACTTAAAGAAACCAACCCTGTGGTTTTCTATAATACAGCTAACAGGCGTTTACAAAATCTTAATATGAATGAATCTGTTCAGAAAAATTGATACAAGTCATTGTGCACAAACTTGAGCTTTATGTTCGATAGTTGTCGAAATACGTTGCAAGAAGTTCTGTAACAATTATTTGACCGCTCTGTAAGTATTATTTGAGATGTAGAAAGGATATTAAGTGTATGTGAGAAAAAAGATTTCTTTTTCTCAACTGAGAGATAGAGAGAGAGAGAAAGATGAATGGATAGAGAGAGAAAGAAAGAGATCGATAGAGAGAGAGAGATAAAGAAAAAAAGAAAGACAAAGAGGCAGAGAGGGAAAGAGAGAGAGAGGGAAAAAGAGAGAGAGAGATAGATAGAGAGAAAGAGAGAGATAAAGAGAGAGAGAGAGAGAGAGAGAAGATTATACGAAGAGGTGAAATTTAGAAACATGTTGAAAAGAAAGAAGAAAAAAAAAGAGTTAAATCTGGCTTGGAAAGGGTTCGAAATCGGTATCTTAGGAATGGGAGGGGAGCACCGTACCTGAGGGCTACATTAATTCTTCTAGAACTTGTCCCCAACCTCTTCTACCTAGCAATGAAAACGGCAACAATCTGTATATTAGTACGGAAAAAAGTAAAACATCAAATTCAACTTTTCCTTTAGGTAATCGCAGGAAAGGTTCGTCATAATTAGACTGCAATATAGACCACAAAAAACCGCCGCGGTGAAGCTTTATCCGGAGGGGGGAGGGGGTTAATATTTCCGTTCAGGGGAAGCAACCATGTAAAACTTTGCTTCAGTGTGTTTTGAAGCGGTTATTTCCATTTGTATTCTGCCAGCGATGACTGAGTACACTATATTGCGCCCCCCACCCCCACCCCGAAAAGCGATGACTGAATGAAGGAAGGAAGGAAGGAAGGAAGGAAAGATTGAATGAACAAATAAATATATAAATACATGCATGAATAGATATATAAATAAATGAATAAATAAATAAATGGAATACGCAACCAAGATATCCATATTCAAATTACTCCAATTAGATATTAAAATATTTCATTAAAAATAAGGGCTATTAACACATTTCTATTTTATCAATGGACTTCGCTTCTGGACAGAAGGTAATTGATAAATTATTAATAAGTCATTAAAAACAAGTCCAAATTCTTATTATTAAATGCGTTTGTTAAAATAAAGATGTAAAACTTTAAAACAGCGTTTTGTTAAGACCTTACACTATATGAATGAAAGACCGAATGAACGAACGAATGAATGAATGAATAAATGAATGAATGAATGAATGAATGAATGGATAAATGAATGAATGAAAGAATAAGCAAATAAATAAGTAAATCAAAAGTAGAAGTAAAATAAGAAGTAAATGGAGAAGCAAATAAATAAACGATAACTAAAAGACAACCTCTTCTAATTAAAGAAAAATAATAAACTATAATATAATAAACCTAATACAGGCCTCTTCTTACTCTTGCACAGTGCAAACCGGCTCAAGCCACCAATCAAAAACAATAAATAATTATATTGAAGATCTCTGGAGCTATAGCATGGACAGTATGTATGTCTGTCAACCTCTCTAAGGTTCATTTGACTGCTGAGTGTACAATGGACATTAATATATCAAAACTGTAAACATCGGACAAGGTGTGAAGATATGGAATTGTCAGTTAAATCCTCACATGCCACAAGAAGAATATCAATATTTCACGTAGGCATATCAATGCCGGCGCGTATTGTTGTCAACTTAATTTAGTCTATTAGGATGTCGGGTCTAGAATAGAAACCTAACAGCCAAACTGTAAACAACACACAGGGTGTGAAGAGATGACGGCGGCTGTGGAATCTAAAGAAAAAACTCAGAGGAAAAAAAAGAAGAAAAGAAAAGAATTAGAAGGAAAAAAAGAAAGAAAAAATGACAGAAAGAACTATTCATAAATAAGATAAAGTTTTGTTGTTGTTTTTTTTTTTTAACTCGTTAAAAAGTTACAATGTTTAGTACAGTTTTAGTAAGATTTCATAATTCTGGGATCAAAGGTAAGAACAAAATGAAAACGAATTAATATAAACACCAATGACAAAACGAGCCTTATTACTGATTTTATAACGATTTCTCTAAACTATAAAGTTAGTTCTCTCGTTCCATCAACTCATTCCGATACAAGGCAAACTGGTCTTGGCAAAAACAAAAATATTAACTCTTGCTTATAGAGATGACGAAATACAGGGGCCAATATGAATGATTTTATATCTTGACTACAGTTCATTTGGCTACGAGTGCACAATGGAAATCCAAAAACCTAACTGTAACGCTTGACAGGCCACAACAGAGATATCAGTCCTTCCTGTAATCTAATGCCGGTATGTATTGTTGTCAACTTCAATATATTTTATTAGGCTGTCGAGTGTACTTCCCTTAGTTAAACTATAAATTATGGACAAGGTGTAAAGAAATAACAACATCCATTAGATTTAAACCTACCTTCTTCTGCCTTATAAAAGGCGTTGCCAGCCGAGGGAGACAGCGGTCAGCAAAAACAATAGCCCTGGTGATTGCCTTCGGTGACGTGTGTTGGTAAGACATTTTCTTGTTTAATCACCGGCCAGGCCATGGGTGCTGACGACTCTCTAACAACTGATAATAAACAGCTATTGTTTAGGCTCAAAGTCATTATGCATTTTCCAGAGGTATCAAATCTGATGGGGTATGGGTCCCCAGATAAGCTCAAGACGTTAGCCACTCTTTATTTGACTTTTTCGCTCTGCAAGCCGGTACTCTCTGCGTCCAGCTTTCTGCTTATACGTTCGAACCCTTTTTCATCGATTTCATATTAACTTTCAAGATTCGACCAAGCCCTGTTCAAAGTTTCAAGATTCGATCCGATACCAAGTGTTACTCTTGACGTAATGAAGACTCACAGAACGTGGCAGCTCAGACTTCAACACCTGTAAGTTCTGCAAGTCAGTGCGCCATCACTCGCTTTGAAGCTAGACTTTGCCGCTACAGCGCCACTGTGGCTAAGAGGCTCAAGCTCAAGGAACCCAGGTTCAAGACCGTCGCCATCAATATCCTGTCTTTGCTGGATATGGAGGAAGGATGAACCATGCTTCTGGGCGTCTACAAAGAAGTGCACAGGGTAAATAAAACGGGGAGATCAAGATCTAAGACAAACCCTTATTCAATGGCGAGTCGAGGGAGGAACGGAAAAAGAGAGCCGACCGCCCACCAACCACCCACAAAAGTGAGTGTATCTGGGATAGAACCTTGTAATACTATTGCCACAAGCTGATTAGTGAGTCGTGCC